GTAATCAAGGAATTCTGGATCATCGTGGTTCAACAGACTAGTATACCCGAGTTGGTCAACGAGTCAAAGCTCAAATGAAAGCTTATGGTAAGGCAAACTTCCACGCAAAGTTTCAACTTGAAGTGACCCTTGCCGCCGCGCTATATGCCGTTGCCAATTATTCATCTTTATGCGCTACAATCAAGAAATTCTGGATCATCATGGTTCAACAGACTATAGTACACCCGAGTTGGTCAACGGGACAAGGCTCAAATATAAGCTTATGGTAAGGCAAACTTCCACGCAAAGTTTCAAATTGAAGTGACACCGAGTTTAAGCTGTAATGCGTTGCCAATTTTTCATTTATATGCGCTAGAATCAAGGAATTCTGGATAATCCCGGTTCAACAAACTAGTACACCCGAGTTGGTCAACGAGACGAGGCTCAAATGAAACCTTATGGTAAGGCAAACTTCCACGCAAAGTTTCAACTTGCAGTGACCCCTCGTTTAGGCTGTACAGCGTTCCTAATATGTCATTGTGTAACATTTGATTTTTTTTTTTGTAACATTGGCTTAAAAATTCGTCTTTTCCTTTCAAAATCAATCCTAAAGTATTGTATGGTAATATTTTACCCATACTGTATGATGACGGCACCTTAAAGTGCGATTTTCGCGCGAAAAGCTCAAAAATATAGGCGTCTCATCGTAAAATAAATGTACACAATTTGGCAACGTTGCTCTAAAAATTCCATTTTTGCCTTTAACGGTAATCGTGTACTATGCCATGGTGATACTCAGTCATCAGAATGGGAGAAATGCCTTGGAAATTACTTTTTCTGAGCATTCACTTGAGAAAATCTTTAATTTTTGTAAGAAATTAAAATAAATTTGGCAACATTGCTTTTGGAATTCAATTTTCCCCGTAAGCAGCTATCATTTACTATCTTATGGTAATGTTTATCCCATACTCGTTATAGTAAGAGCTCATGATGGAACGTTTTCCGCCAAAAGTCTCGAAAATACCCTCATTTTACGTTAAACTAAAATTGGAAACACTGCTTCGAAAAGTTAGCGATGCGGCCTTCAATTGCGTTTCCATACGATCTCAGGGTAGTATTCAGCTTGTAGACCGATGCACTAGTATGTTTAATTATGATGCACTGGACTATTAGTCCAGAAATCCTTGATTAAAGCACATAAAAGTGATAAATTGGTAACGCTGTACAGCCTAAACGAGGTGTCACTTCAAATTGAAACTTTGAGTGGAAGCTTGCTTTACCCTAAGCTTTCATTTGAGCCTTGTCCCGTCGACCCAAAAAAGCGGCTAAACTTGGCGAGGCTATAGAGGCTTGGCGTCTAAGAGGCCCCACAAATGTATTAAATCAGGACTACCGCTGTATATAATTGCTTATTATTATATCCATGCCTGCCATTTTAGCCGCCATGTTGAATTTACGAGCTTCAATATTGGTCAAGAGTAATTTTTGACTTCATATTCGTAATGTGCGACCCAAAATACATGAGAAACGACACCCCACTCGACGCCATACGCCGATACCAAAAAAACAGGTTTCGATTGGCGGTCATTTTTGCCGCCATATTGGATTTTGGGGTTTTTTCATGGGCCGCACAGTGAGTTGTAATTCTGTTTTGAAACCTGAGACCACACAATACAATCATTGGCCGCCTTACTAGACGGCCAAATGAGAACTCAGCGATTTTCGCGCCGGGTGGGTATTTTCAGCCGCCATGTTGGATTTGCGACATTTTTTTGATCGGAAGGTATTTTAAGCATCATATTCGAATTTTACGACCCAAAAAACATAGTAATCGATACCTCTCATGCCATAATACGGAATTTTCAAAAATAAGGGCTACCGAGCGGCCGCCATTTTGTTTTTGGGCTTTGGGCGCTTCCTGCACGATTTTCAAGGTTATCACCATCTAAATTCTGATTCTAGACATCATAACGAAGAGATTGATACCACTCTCCAACTTTTTTCAGAAAGTTGCACACGGGACTGGATTTTTGTACATTAGAGGTTCGACTACAAGTTTCAATGAAAGGAAGCTGTCGCAGTAAGTGGGGCACAGATCAGAATACCTTACTCATACATCATTTATACTGAAATACTGGGGTAATAAGTCATCATTAAGAGTCAAATAATGGATGAAAACTTAGCTTTACACAATATATCCAATAATTAGATGCATTGATTTATTTTAACAAAAACTTGTAAATAACTTTAACTTGACCAGCGGAAATTCCCAAAGGGGGACGTAACCTCACATTCGGGACTTTCCGTGTATTAAGTTTGAATGTGGTGCTAGTTTAAAACATCCGTTAATGCAGTTGTAAAGTAGAGGATATGAAGAACTGACAACTGCAAGAAAATTTGGTAAAATAAGCTATAAATTGACCGAAACTCGTTTTAGAAAGACGACTTCAGATTTCTAATGGGGAAACACAGGTGCATCGACACGGCGGGAAATAAGCCTACCAGGTGTGACGTAGCCGAAGAACGAACGAGAGACCTCCGTTGAAATTTTGAACTTTATTTAGCTTTTGCAGCTTTAATATCAAACTTAGAGTGTTTTTAACCACACCAATCGTTTTCTCGTGAAAAATTACGTTTGGTACGCTCGTTCCTCTTCAAATTCCTAAGTGCAACGGACACATTTTGACCTAGCTATTTTTCCGTGTTTTTCCAAAATTTGGGCTTAGGAAGTTGTGGTTATTCTATCCTCCATTATAGTTGGCCCCCATCAAATGTAATCCCTATTTTCAGGGGTAATACGGTAGCATGTGAGGTGTTCAAATATGGTGGACTTTTTGGTTTAGGGCCACACATGAAAGGGGGTTCAAGGAAAAACCCCTAACTGCCTGTAACAAATAGATGGATCATCAGACTAAGGGGAAGAATTACGGTACCCGCTGCAAAATTACAGTCAATTTCATTTTATTTATTTATTTTTTTTCAGATCAGCAGGAGAGGTAGATACATTTCTAAAATTGAATAACATCACAATCAATAGAAATGCTCCTATCCTAGGTCTGGAATTTGAAGAAGCCATAATAGATGGTCGTGTTATTGCCAGTCTCAGGTAAACAACTGCTTTTTAAATATCAGCAGCTCAATCCCTGGTCATTCCATGCCAACTGTTGCCACTTTGAAAAAGTTTGAAAAACCCGAAATCGGACCTTTTGATTTCTTTGAAAATTTCACGAGATGATGATGACACCTTCGACTACGCATGTGCTAAATTTCAGAGTGGAGACTTGGTGGAGACGAAAGTTACAGGGGAAAATTTCGGAGTGCGACACTGTGCCGCGGCTTACGCAGTCTCCAGTCCCGAGTTCCGGGAATCATCCCCGAGGCCGGGACAGCGGACCGCGCAAGGCGAAACTATTGTGTCAATGTCGCTCGGCCCTAGTTTGGGGATGGTTCCCGGAACTCGGGACTAGAGACTGCATAAACCGGGGCACAGTGTCGCACTCCGAACTTTTCCCCCCTGTAACTTTCGACTCACCAAATCTCCAGTCTGAAATTTTACACACACATAGTTGAAGGTGCCATCAACATCTCGTGAAATTTTCAAAGAAATCAATAGGTCCGATTTCGGGTTATATCGTTTTGATAATTAAAATTTGCGCCAGGGAATAATTTTGAGTTAAGCCCAATTGTATCATACATGTCTGAAAAGGTATTTCTCAGGGTTTTTCAACGACTTCAAAACGGTCGATTTTGGAAGAACCGTTCCGAAGTTTCACATCAATAAAGAGGTGGCATCTCCCGAAACAGGCCAACTTTCGCGGAATTTCAGTGTCTAATGAAAGCCCAATGGGTGATCGATTCAGGTTAAAATTTTGTTTTTTTACCAAGCTATGCATGCAGGGTGGCAAGCGTCAGGGAAAACCGGGAATTGTCAGGGAATTTTGAGTGACCGGGAAATGTTAGGGAATTTTCGTAGCGCATCAGCGCATCTTATGAACTAACGTGTACATAGGTAGCATACAGAGTTCCGTCCCTCCTCCACATGGCAACAGTGTTCCACGATCTGTCATTTCCGTCCGACTCCGTTGGGTGTCGTTCCTTGATTAAAAGAAGAGAGCTAAATCTATAAAATCCATAAAAGATCCGAAACCAAATTTAGACACTAACTCAGACACTGATGAACACCAGACAGATCTCGAAAATGGTATGTCTAAGTCCGAGACTGAAGCAGACAAGCCAACGACCGAGTAATAAAACAATGCCTGAGACAGCAGAAGGGAAATACACCCCACAACCACAGCCAGGATTAGATATTGAAAATGAGTCAAAGCTTTGAGACAGTAGAAGGAGGAAATGCCCCGCAACCACAGCTAGAATTGGATACAATAAAAAGGAATCGCATTGTGCTATCACCGGAACACGCGCAGGCCCAGGAAGTAAACCTTCGACAGAGTACCGAAGCTAAACCCAAGCAACTAAATGCTAATAAAGGACAAGATGCTGGCACACATGATATTTACGCCCCCCCCCTCTCCATGATTCAAGATTTAATGGCCATGTCAAGCCTCTTTCAACGCGTAATACACTCAAAAGCTGTAGATATTATTCATAGGGCTGAATCTCATACGAAACTGGCCGACCAGTAGTATGAAAATGGCGACTTGACCGCAGTAATTTATCCAACAGCGTTGCACGATGGCGCAGAAAAATATAAATCAAAGTACAGTGTTGTATGGTAGGTATTGTACAATATAGCAACGCTGTAAAAAAGAGAGGATTGTATGTTGCCCCTTCAATATGCGGGTTATGCAATGGTGTAATGTAGCCCCTTCAATATGCGAGTTATGCAATGGTGTATTCTTCAAGATGGCGGTTATGCAACAGCGTTGCCGGACGGTGCAGTTAGATAAATGATTTATTAATGGGTGAAATTTGGCAACATCGAATTGCACAGTGTTACCAGATGGTGCAAGAAAATAGTTAATTTTTCGATACAAAGCTGTCAGATTGTGCAAAAATTCGGATTTTCGGACTTGTAAAAATTTTCGGTTTCGAAAGACCGTATCTTACAGTATGGGCCTGGTATCGGAGACTGGAGAGTAGGGTCTGATTCGGGAAATTGAAAAATTTTCGGAAAATTACTCTCCTCCGATCCGTCGCGGACCGATGCGATTCCTTAACACTATCGAAGATCGGAAAACTGTACGGACCGAATTTTGATACGAGTTTTTGTTTTCGAGATTTCAGACTTGTAAAATTTTCGGCTTCGAAAGACCGTATCTTACAGTATGGGCCTGGTATCGGAGACTGGAGATTAGGGTCTGATTCGGGAATTTCAATTTTCAGTAGTGTGCGCTTGGAGATGCGTATGGGAACCTTGTGTTTTGCAATGAGCAACTGGGATTGGATATTGCAATGTTCAGTTCGATGAATCAAACATTTTTATTATTCCACAATTTGGTAGAATGAACAGAGAAATCATATAAAGAAAAGAAAGCTACACAAGTTAAAATAATCCATGCTGATGCATCCCAGTATCACCCGTTGGACATACATCGGGCACAGAGACAGCGTTCTGAATAATTTTTGCGCGCTCTAAGTTGTTCAAGAATTCACTTTTGCTTGTCAGAATGACTATAATAGAGCATGTCACGAGAGACCAAGATTCCTTATTCTTGAGGGGCAAGTTTTGGAAGTTTTCGACGGTCATAGAGCGTCCCGGACTTCTGGGGAGCGAAGGATTAGGTCTTTTTCAGAGAACCGCTCTCCTCTCTCTGGTGTACAATGCTATGCGAATCGCACTCAAAAGTCTGCATATCTTCCAGTCCCGTTCGTCTACTTTCTTGTACCCCTGCTTTAAGAAGTACATTAATTCATGCTCGTCTGCGACACGTTCTAGGAGATGGCAAAATCTTTCCGTTATCTCAACTAACCCATAACACCCGACGGGATCGGAAGTGTCTATTGAGCTGAGTTTAAGATGGTGGAACAACTTGTCAGGAAAAAGGAGTCTGGCAAACTTGTTCAAAAGCTCTGCTCGTATTCCTGGAATCTTGAAAGAGAGAGCCTCATATACCGTGTCCAAGGTGTTCATCGCTCTAATCGATTGTGATTTGAGGGTTGGAGCGTCCATACTTGATGAGCTCTTGTTTTGAAATAATCGATCACACTTCCTCGACACTATTTATACGTTCCCTGACTAGAATTGATAATTTTCCCCACTTGCATGAAAGCGTAGTTTTATATTGCTACTATAAATTATGACTACATAGTTTGTCCGAGTGTAACCGAGTCTGGTGATTAGCAAATACTACTATTTTTACTCTGAGGTAAATTATAACTCTACATAAGAGTGTAATTTATGTTACGACTTATGACTACACAATTTGCCCGAGTGAAACCGAGTTTGGTGATTAATAAATACTACTATATTTACTTTGAGGTAATTATGACTCTACAGTTTCTTTCCACTCGGTATGGAAACTATATATATTTACCTCCGAGTAGAAAGCTCGTCAGTCTCACTTTTGATGATATTGGAAACCCTCGAGCTTATAATAGTATTCACATGTTCACTCTGAAATATTTTCAACGAACAGAATCTTACAAACGAGAAAATAGTGTTGATTTTCTGTTCTGACGAAATCAGAAAATCTCGAGCTTATAAGAGTATAAAACTTCGAGGTTATAATAGTATTCAGTTGTTCGCTGTGAAATCTTTTCAGTGAACAGAATCTTACAACGTAAAGATAGTGTAGATTTCCTTTTCTGACCGACTCGGAAAACTTAGAGCTCAAAATAGTATCTTTATCATGGCTGCTCAAGAACAAGGACAACAGATTGTTGAAACTTTCATCCAATGTGATATTTGTGATGAATTTTATAAACAAGGTGAAAAGCA